AGAGGCAAACAGTGAGTAACCTGCCTAACAAGCTTGTATGAATAGATGGCAGAGCAGGGAGTAAGTGGGATGGTAAAAAGATAAACCTTACTAAGAACTGTAAAGGATAGGAATTTGTGGAGAGCCATGATCACCCACACCTGGAAGGAACGTAGCACATATACACAAGTGAGGTTTCAGATTTACTTACCACTATCCTACCCATCGACTGCTTAAATTTTTCTACTTTAATAAGCAAAAACAAAATGATTAAACACCAAGCCTTTACATTTTTTTTTTTTACCTACAGTTTGTTCCAGTAAGTTTCCACATTTAATACATATGTTATGCATTAAATTATTTTTTTTAAAAAAGCATTGTCAGGGATCAGGAATTAATGGGAAAGAAAAGGCTGACTGCATAAATAGGCAACACTATATTTCATTAATCTATGCCCCAAGAGCAGAAAACTGACTGTACGTTAAAAATACTAAAGTGGATTTTTTTAAAATTTAATTAGCTTTAAATTTATTTATTTTTATTTTATTAATTTTTTCTTTTTATACAAACCAAAATTTTGAATTGATATTTGGTTGGGTTGTAGACAGGAATATTAAAAACAAAACAAAAATTATTACTGTTATCATTATTTTTATTATTATTAATAATATATTGTGGAAACAAATTGTTACTTTCTCACAACTCCAATTACTGCCAAACTTTGAAAAGAAAAGAAAATACTTAAATAGAAAAAAAAAAAAAAAAAAAAGGAAGCAATAAAACAATTGTAAATAACCATCTGATATTGATTGATTATTTTTGTTGTTGTCTTGCCTGTCTGAAATAAAAAGGCAGTCATTTTAAGAATGTAGACAGATCATACACCGATTGAAAGAGGAAAAATTTCAAATATAGATACTTTGGAATCAAAAAAAAAATTACAAGTGAAAAAAAAAATGCAAATAGTGAAAAGCTCTCAGGGTTGTAATCTCTTTCATAAGTAAATAATTGAAAAGAGTTTTGTTTGAATGTATTTATAGGCAAGATTCACAAATAGACATTAGGAGAAATATTCATTTTATATATATATACATAAATATATATATATATATATAAACACACATGCACGTCTACACTTATAATATACACACACATTTATATTAATATGTATATATATGTACATATATTAATAAGAAATTTTATAAATCTCTTGAGAGTCAAGGAGGTGTGAGTAGCATGACAGTTATCGGCATGGAAAGTGGAATGGGTGAGTAAAGTTCAAGACCCGGCCAAGTCAGCTGCATTCACTTTCGTACTAAGACTCTTGGGAAAGGCATATATCCCCCTCTTCTTCCTTCACCTTCAACTGTGGGTTAAATAGCAGAGTAGACAAGTCTCCCTAGTGTGGGTTGACAACCACTCTGACAAAAGAACAACTTTGAATTCAAAACTCTGTAGAGAGCAACAGGAAACCATTTAGTTGTCTTTACCACGAAGGCATGATATTTTTTTTATTATCTGAACTATCTGTGGAGAGCCACAATCAACTATTTACTGAAGGGACTGAAATCATATTTCGTTATCCCAATGTGTCCTTGGATTTCGTCCTCTGTTAAAACACTTCCCAGATATTTCGATTTTTGTACTTGCTTGATTTTGGTATCTCCAAGTTTTAATTTGCATGTTGGGCTGTTCCTTTTGCTGACAACCATTTGATAGTAATATGAAAAAAAATTTGGAAAAATTTATTATTTCTTGAGAGGTGTGTTTCTGCAGAAATGCCAAATCACCCGACATGTTTAAGTTGGATAAGCAGAGAGTAAAAAGACTTTTTCAAAAGAATAGTCTGACATTTTTTACAAATCCATTGTTCCTCAATCTTGCTGAGTTTCCTGGTGCCTGCTAGACAAATGTATATCCATAAAATGATGTATTCGTTAACAGGCTTCACTGCTGGGGTGGTACTTTTTACATTGTGTGACGTGTTGTAGTTTTTATAAATATTACATAGCCTGTTTTATCCTAAAAGCTCTATTTTATTTCATCCGACCAAATAACTTTATTCCAGTCATCAGTGGACTGATCCACAAATTTTTTAGCAGATCTCATATCTTTATCAGTTCCATGTTCTGCAAATTGGTGAGACAAGTTTCAATGTTTTTCATATCTTTATACCTTTTATGCTCAGTTTTGGGTGAATTGAAATTTTCATTGTGAAATTTTAGTCACTCCTCATATTAAAAACATATCTGGCTGATCCAGTCTTGTAAGTATTGAGATTTTAATAATTGTAATTTACTTCAATTTATGAATGATGGATAAAATAGTGAAACTTGGAAATTTTCTTATAACCTTTCCTCTGACTGATAAGTCACAATCAATTTCTTTTTCGGTGTTCAATAGTTTTAACAAAGTTTTCAATGATCAAAGAATATTTACTTTATAAAATAAATTCACATAAGCTTTCTAAAATGTTGAGCTTAAAAACATCAACAATAGATTAATTTTAGCTGTTGTTGACCTAATTTACTGTGAAATTTACTTGTTTCACTGGGTGAAAAAAACTGGTGCGATACTAATGCAAATGTTATTATTCCTAATTGTAAAAATAAAATAACAAAAGTAATTCACATAGGACTTTATATATATATATATATATATATATATAATGATATAAAAGGATTGTGATTACGATTCCAATGTAATAAATTATAACCATAGAATATTAGTGTGTGTGTGTGTAGTTCAATAAGTATGTGGTCTAATGAAAAAAAGAATACTTATTTTTATTATCTCAATGCACTTAACCCAGTGCATCTTCATTGACCACACAGATGAATTACTATACATTGAAAATTTCATATTCAGTTTATAATGAAATGCCACTCTCATTGATTAATCATTGTATCAAACATTTATATATGTGTATATCTGAATGCATACCTAATAGTATGTGGATGGATGGATTCTCCTGTCAAAAACATTAAATGAGTAAAGTCAAAGTTATCACTGAACAACTTACACAAGTGAATTGTTCAAAGTGGTCAATTGCCTTTGTCCAGTATTGGAAACACTCTCCATCATAGCACCATGTCCTGCACTGGTGCACATGTCTGATAATGCTGCAACTGTAGGCTATTTTTGAATATACAAAATAATCCTAAGGAGCCAGGCAAACCTACCTAGGTTTCATCTAAATGGATCTTAAGATTATCTTAGGCTTTGCTCTACTTAGTGTATTGAGCACTTTACGTAGCTGTTTTTTTACTCGTTTTGAGGGTTTTTTTCTTTGGACTTGGAACTTGAACACTGGACGATTGTTTTCGCCTTGGTTTATGTTCTTGGTTCTTTCTTTTTTTTATTCCCCATTTTTCCTTCAGTACTGATTTGTTCAACTGCAAGTTGAGCTATCTGAGGTTTTTCCAAACGAGTACCACCACATACATATATATATATATATATATATATATATATATATACACACACACATACACACAAGGGTGTGTAGCTGAATTATTAGAACATTTACTTTCCGACTTTCAGATATACTCCCATGGTCAATTTATCAGATTGGATATGATCCCAGCATGTAACTCCTTTGGAAAGGTGTCTAGAAACAAGCCACAGGTTTTGACGTAAGCCTTGTGTGAGTAAAATTGGGTAAACAAACCTGTTTGGAAGCCATCATGATCAAGGATATAAGCATACGCACGCTGATCATGACAGATTATGCACTCTTTCCCAGAAACTGTAACTAAGGTCTGCTCAGTATACTTGCAACATAAACCACAGATGGTTGTGTATGGAAAAAAAACCCAAATCTAGCTATTATGTGTGTATAATACCAGCTCTGACATGCATGCATAAAAGCATTGTTATGGGACCTTACCCATAATAACATAATGGACTATTTCATATGTAATAAATACTGCGCCTCAAGAGGAAGCAGGGAGTTCAGTCTGAAGTCTGAAGTGAAGTCCGTTGAGAGTCTATCAGTCAGTCAGAGCGAGTGAGTGAGTCAGTCAGTCGAGTTCAGAGGCAGTCCGAAACAGAGTCGCGTTCAGACAATTACTACTAAACCTGATTGTTTGTACCAACACTTTCTACTTCTCTGTATATATTCCTGTTTGTAATATATCTGTGTTATTACATATACGTGTTCGAGTTCTTCTTTATTGGTTCTACCTTGGACTATCACCATGGTACAAGGGACCAGACCATAACAAGCATGGAAATTAATAAGCTCAAAAATGCACAAAGATCAATGCTTAGAATAATTCTCAAAGATAGAAAACGGTGAATAGGAATCAGAGAACAGATGAAAATAATGGATTGTATACTACATAAAGAGTGGGTTTATTTAATTCATTCAATATTTTGTTTTTGAGATAAGGTATAAAAAAATGAATAAAGGAACTGAAGGGATGCCTATAACAGCACTATCAGTCTGGGTGTAGATATCTAGATGAGCATTAAATGGAATATGCATTGTGCAAGCTAGTAAGTTTTTTTTTGTTTTTTTTATTTAATTCTGCCATCCATTTTTAAAGGTGGGAGAAAAATGATTTCTTACACACACACACATATTTATATAAAAAATATGCATGCATAAATTCACAGGTTAGAATGATTTAGATATGTATTTATTTATACATATGGCATCTTAGCTGGTAGAAAATAAATAAGTACACATAGGTGCATATGTATGCATATACTTCTTCATACAGCCCACCCACATTGAAAAATAAAAAAAAAGCTATCAATCATTTCTTTTTTTTTTCAATAAATAACCAAATAAGTCAGAGTAAATAAAATGAAAAAAATAATTACAAAAAATAAATAAATGTACAAATTGATATATAGGTAATTTTTTTTCAATGTTGAATTGTAGTGTTGAAAGGTGGATGTGGAGGTGTCAGTGCAATGACTTAATTAAATGCAGGTGCTCACAAGACACTGCAGCAGCTGCAAATGTTTGGTAGGTAGTAAATAAATAAAGCAGACAGGTGGGCAGTACTTACCTGTATTTCAAGTTGGCTAACAACTTGCATCTGCACCCGTGCCTGGGCAGTACTTCTGTCATCCAGCTGGTGCTCAGAATTCAAATGC